ATATTTAATATAATAAATTTACAAGTTTATATATTATATATAATTAATATATAATTTAATTTAAAAAATATTAATATTATTTGAAACTTGTTGAAAACTTATAAAAAAATAATAGAATTAGAAAATTTTTTTGTTTATATTATGTTATTATATTTTATATAACAGTTAATTATATCATATTTTAATTTTTTATTATTGAAATTAATATAAGGATTAAAAATCATATTTTAAATTTAATTAATTGTTAATTTTTAATTTTTAAAATTTAAAATATTTTGTTTTGAATTTACAATGACTTAAATTTTTTTAATTAATTATATATATATTTTAAATGTAATTATTTATGATATAAAATTTTTAATAAGATTTTTTATAATAAGTTTATTATATCATTTATTAATTTATTAAAAATTTTAAATATATTATATACAATATGATACAAAGTAAAAAAATTTTTACTATTGAAATTTTTAAAAATTATTATTATTATTATTATTAAATTAATCAATAGAATAATTTTATATAAAGATATTTATAATATTTAAAAATATATAAAAAATTTTTTTAATAATTTTTTAAATTGTTTTTTATTATATAACATATATAAATTAATTTCTTTTTTCAATTTTTATTGTATTAAAAATTAAAATTTTTTAAAAAATATTATTATTATATTTATATATGTGATTTATAACAAAATTATTATTAAGATATTAAAGAACTTGTTTATAAAGTTTTATATAATTAATTAATTAATTATTGAATTATATTTTACAAGTTTTTAAACAAATTCAAGTTAAAAAAAATCATTATAAAATATATATTTTATTTTTTACAAAAAAGTTTCTTATTAAATAGTTTATTTACTTGATATTATTGTTTTATTAAAAATGCTATTTATTTAAGTATTTTTCAATCTTAAAAATATATTTATAAAAATTCAAATATTTAATTTTGTATTTAAAATCTTTTTATATAAAATATTTTTGTTATTTAACTTTAACAAAGTAATTGTACTTTTTTATATCAATATTTCATAGTATCAAAATAAAACTCAAATATTACTTTATTAAAAATATATTTGGTTTTACATGTTATTGAAATAGTTATGTATTAATATTCTTTAATCTAATTTATTTCACTTCTTGTTTTAAAAGGAAGGTGAGGTTATAATCTCTATACCTCTGAATCTTATACTCACGTACAAAAAGGTGAATGAGACATTATCAAGGGATTACGGGTTGAAGTTAGTATTAGAGATTTCGTTTATTCTTAAATTTATTAAAATAACCAAACTTCTTCCTTAATGCTTTATAAAACAGATCGTTATCAATTCCGAAGCTCACATCACATCAACTTTTGGCACTTTACCTGGTATTGGAGTCGCGCAAAGGAAAAAGTAGTTCGATCAATCCTTATGTTCAAATGTTGCCGAAAGATTTTGGCAGCATGCCAATTTGTTATGAGGATGATTGGGTGAAGCTGGTTCCCGATTACATGAGAGGTTAGTATGACATTCATAATTAAGACACGTAGTTTAAAGATAGGGGACATATTTGATTAATACTGAATGAGTCTATTGATAAAAGTGATAATTGAATCACAGAAATCTAAATTTGAAAAAGATTTTGCGAACGTTTGTGATTTTTCAGAGGTAATGATAATTTAGATCCGTTAAAAGAATTACGTTATACCAAAGAAAAGTTTTCATGTTCAATTATAGGCACAAGATAAAATATGCCTGAGAGTAACTCGAGAAGAATTCTTGTGGGGATGGCTTTGCGGTAATTAAACTAATCTCTTGATATTTACAAACAAACCAATGTTTATGCTAACCTGTTGCCTAAATACCGTAGTAAACACAAGGTGTATATACCTGGAAAATTCAGTTTGTGATATCCGAGACAACATTGCTATTTCACCAATGTTAGATTTCTTGAATCACAGCCTTGACGCAAAGGTGCTTATGCATTCAAAATTCTGTTATTACGCAAAACCCGGTTAATAAATTTATTCTTGCTTCGAAAGATAAAAGGAGGATTTAACCATTCAACTCAAAGTTACGAAATCACCACATTCACTCCTTACAAGAAGGGACAACAGGTGCAACATTAATTTCATTATTTACGTAGCAAATTTTATTATTATCATTTTTTTTAATATTAATAAACTAGGTTTTCATAAACTACGGACCTCACGACAACTATCTAACCTTGCTAGACTATGGGTTCACTATCTCTGGCAATCCTTTTGCATACGTGCTAATTGATAATGAGTTTTTCGAGTATAGAATGCCTGGGGAAGATGAGTGGATTAAGAAATTTAAGTTTGAATTGTTGATGGAAAATGGATTTTATGGGTGAGTTCTATGAATGACGGTAGATTTTCTCTACTCTGATATCTCAATTCGACCATTTCATTAAAAAAAAAACAAGCGATTACACTTTTCATGTGTCACAAATCTCTTTTCGTCTTCTGACTGCGCTGCGTCTAAGACTACTTCGATTTGATGAAGGTGATAACGGTACGGAAATTAGTATTCGCGAAGGTCACATAACACTTTCCCAATATTCCCAATCCCTGATAAAAAAATGGAAGTCCACACTAACCGGGCAACAAGAAATAATAAGTAACGAGAATGAGGTTGAGATTTATAAATGGATAAACGATATCTGCATTGTGAAATTAAATGAGTGTAGGAGTAAATTGGAAGAGATGGTATGCAATTTTCTGCTTGTTCGTTTTGATTCCTAATGTTGATGACAGTAAGCAAACGGGAATATATCTTCTTTTTTTTTTTTTCGAAAACAATTAGAAATCACAAAGCTCATTAGACAACATAAAACTTCTTTGGAATGATTCTATTAATATTTTGAATTCTGTGATCGAGTATATTAAAAATTTAGATCAGCAAGATGTCTAATTCTGTAATGCTGTACTATAGATGGTAGATTGTACTGTATCATTTTTTAAATAATAACTCGAAATACACAATATTTGTTTATAATGAAATCGAATTTATAAAATTTATTTGTCAAAGTCAAAGTAGTCGGGTTGTGGTTCTTTCAACGCCGAAACTTTGTCTTAAATCATTTGACTCACAGTAGCCAATCGATTTATTCCACATGAGTCTGTAACGAATGGCTGTGTTGCGTTTTGCGCAGTTTCGCTATATAGGAAACAAAAACGGACTATGGCGTTTGATGTGAGAGTTTCTTTTTAAAATATTTATCTTTTATATGATAAATATGGGCGAGGAACAATGGGCTATTTTGTTTGATCGTGATTGCAAGTTTTTACTTTTGATCGATTAGGTTGACCATCTTGCCATACGGTACACATTGTTTACTGTACTTCTTTTTTTTAATAAACAGATATTCGAGCCGAAGACTACAAAAGAAATCTCCAAACCTTGAACGAATACAATCTATTCCTTGAAGAATTGCCATCTCTAATAAGAATAGGATCCCAAAATGGACTTTTGCAATGTTCTAGATGTCAAAGGATATCACAATCGTCACAGGAGTATGATGATTTGAGATGTCATGAGACAAAGTATTTTCATGAAATAGAAAGAGTCACCTCGGTGGCAAATTTACGAGACACCAGAGTGGACGTTGAGATGTTGGAAAAATTATTCATTCTGTGCGTATAATTTTATAATTTCCACTTACAATGCCCTAAAAAAATTCTTGATTTACAAAAAAAATTTTTTTTTTTTTGCTGAAAGAGTTGGTACAGATTTTGAGTTGTTCCACGAGTCCATCGCCAAATTCTTTGAACACTACGAGATTTACCTCTGTCAACGTTGTGATAAACTATCCAACAAACCTGAACATTCGGGTCACCCTTATCTCACTTCCTTTAACCACCTCTTGTTTCCCACACACAAGAATCCATTGATACATAAGAACTCCCTTCTTATCACAAACCTAGCTCAACTGAAAGGAATTGAATTTGACTTGTTGGAATTCTTTGATGTCCTAAAGGATTGCGTGGATTCCATGCGGCCAGCTATGATATCCGGAAAATGGAATGTTGGCAACCAGGAAATTTCTCCGGGAAGACGTAATTTTTATAACGGAAATTTTGGAACTTCCGAATGGGAACAATATATTAAGATCGATGGTATTTTTGTATGATCGATTTTTCACCCGTATACAGTATTATTAATTGTTTGAAATTACTTCTATGATATGTAACATTTAGAATTCCACCGAAGCAACGAGTCGCTCGAAATCTACACCCAATTTTTGCGCAATCTACCACAGCGGCTTCACGATCTATCCTTGTTCAAATGCTTAAATTGCAATGTTATTTTCTTGAACGCAAAGAAACTCTTGATTGGTCCCTGCAATCAAACGAATTTGTGGATTGACAAACGTAACTATCTCCCAATAATGCCTCATATACCGAAAAAGATTGACATGATGGATGTTTTTATGAATTCAAAAGTTAGTTTGAATTGCTTAGGTGATACTTTTGCCGAGAGGTATAACGTGTAGGTAAAGTTGATTTAGATTTAGTGAATTCATCATCAGGATTTAATTCTTCTATCTGCATATATTTATTTACGTGAATGCAGAAAATCGATTCATCTGAACAGGTTTCTAAATGGAGTTCTTGGTTTCTCGTATTTTGTTAAACATTGTGAGATATTCGTATGCATTCGATGCGGTTCGTTCTCGGCACTAGTGCAGGGCGGAAGCTTGTGCAGAAAACCATATCATGATCATGTATTTCGACGTATCTTTGATGTTTATCAATTCTATGATGAGTTAATCAATTTGTTCGACTTTCACTACGTTATAAAGTCGGCATTGGACATCGCCTACCCGGACAAACCAATTTATAGAAAGGCAAATGGAGTGAAGTAGATGTGGAAGAGTTTTTTTGCAACAATTTTATAAAATTCACATTTTATTAGAACCGATAGATTATAAAGAATAGAAATGGACAACCGACCCTTTCCTTTCAAAAATTGTAGATAGTTATAGATACAGTATAAAACAGATATGAAATCACCAAAGATCTAGAATTCATCAATCTTTGGGATATGTAATTTATAATTTTTACCGTGTGATAAATACAAAAAGGCCTCACTATTTTTATTTATCCAAAGATCATTCATTATAACTCAGCAAAAAGATCCCTTATGCAAAACATACAGTAGTTAAACTTACAAATATACACACTAGATACAGTATATTTCGAAAATTAAAATTTTTCTAGAGTGCAAATTCCAGTTATTCTATAAATCTCGTTTAATGATCTATTTAACATTAATCCTTCATATCATCTCATTAAGCTTTTCATGTATATCGTCAATTTTTGGACGTTTTTCAGGGTCTTGATGCCAGGCATCCTCGACTAATCTCTTATACGGTTCTGGTGTATCCTTTGCAAATGGGCTGGGACGTTCTCCCCTTTGGATTTTTTCACGCACCTCCCAATCATCAGTGACCTCGAAAAAGGGAAACTTGTGTGCTGAAATTTCCCAAAGGGTGGTGGCAAAACTAAAACACCAAAATTTTTTAATGTATTTCAACAAGCATCGCGTATAACTTTTTATTTCTTACCTATATACTTCGCATTTTTCGTTGTATCTATCTTGATATTTCAATTTTTCCGGCGCAGTCCACCTAAATATTTCCGATAGATTAATAATATCCCTCAATTTATTACAAAATAATAATAATAATAATATCCATCCAACCTATATGTTTCAAATACAAGTCCATGTGAAAATTCATCAAAGATCTTTCGGCTCCTATGAAAATTGGTCAGTTTGGCATATAACTTGCCATCCTTTATATTGAGCAATACGTTCTTACTAAGATTATGGGAATTTTGTTATTGTGATAATTCGAATCAATGCAAAGAAAGACGAGCCAGTGTATAATGAATACCTTCTAACATCTCGATGAAATACTTTTTTATCGTTGCAATAAGCGAGACCTTTTGCAACTTGTTCTGCAATCTGAAGCTTTGTTGTCCATGGAATTAATTTATTATTATTTAAATACTCGTGAAGATTCCCATCTTCCATCCATTCGGTAACTAGAAAGAGACAATCTTCTCTATTCACATTTTCAAAATAAAGTCCGATTCTATAATATACGTAATTAATTCAATGACGATCAATAATCAAAAGGAATGGCATAACAAATTGTGAATAAAGTGTAAAAATATTTACAATCTTTCGATAGGTCCCCATGTACTAAGCAATTTGACGATTTTTACTTCTTTCGCAACTGCTTCCAGTGGAACGGTACCCCAATTTTTCACCGCCACGTCATCTCCTTTATACTTTCGTTTTTGTATCTTGCCACGACTAATTGACGAATGACCACAATCTTTAAATTTACGCGGGTCGATTCGCAATTCACCAATTTCCTCATTTGTTAAACTGGCTCCTTTCTCTAATAGTGTGAGTTGAACTAGCTCTTTGAGATTTTCGTTGACTTCTGATATTTTTGCATGACCATCAAGAATCACACTATTATAAAATCTGTTGGTGGCGAGATCCAGTTTTCTGGTGATTTTTTCGTACGCTTCGGAAGTCTTGAATAGAAAGTTAAATTAATTATTTATTTTGAAATATGGTCATAATAAACAATCCTCATGATATTTACATTTTTGGCGTCAATGTATTTCATGACTTTTTTAATAATACTCTTGCTATGGGCATCATTTGTTTTATTTATTTCGTTAACATACAAAAGTATTTCCTTCAGTGTTTTTTTGTAAGCTTCTTGTTGTGGACTGATATCACCTCCTGGTGCATGCTCGGAAATATCTAATAAGCTGATTGTTAAACGTTCGCGGATGTCTTTGAACACCTCTTTATTATGTTGCGCTTGTTCCGAAAGGTCGATAATTCGTTGGGCAAGTTCGGCTGCGGTTTCTCCGATAAACGGCGTAGCTCTAAGTACTAAGGGAAGAGCATTCTGACCAAAAGCTTTGATAGCGTTCGGTAGGCTGCCAGGTAATTGTCTGCTTGTCATTTTATTGCGGTTGAAAGACATGTTTCTACACACGTCCATGCACGCATTTTATTTAATCAATTTATATTTAACGAGCGCTGTACCTCTTTGAAAGTTGGTTTAATTAGATGCACTCTACGTAGCACGTACGCCACAACAGACAAAATTAGTCAATTTTTATTTTATGTCACCAGTTTAAATCCTAAGTTCTCATGCAGTTTTCCTTTATTGATTTTAATCAAACCTTTTTCTCTATTCATTTGTCTCCACTGCATGATTTACATTATTCCCTTACCTGGCTAAAATAGGTCAATTGCAAACAAAGTGTTATTTTTACCATATACGTTGTGAAGCAAAATTTTTAAGTGGATATTTATCATTACAAATTATCAAAGAATTAAATCATTGATATCATAGATGTTAATATTAATTTTAAAATCTTTTTCACATGATAAATCTTTACATGTCAAGAGAAAAAAATTCATAAAAAAAATTTTTTTTTTATTTAGTTGTTTTATAAAAATTAATTAACTATTATAATAAAATCATTTTTTTAAATATTAATGAAAAATATTTTAAATAATATAATTTTGAAAATATTTATTGATTCAAGTTTATTGCTATTATATTCAAATTTCCATATCTCCAAATATTAAAATTAAAATTAATTTATGATATATAAAACTTTTGATTTCAAAAAATATGAAATAAATAATATCAAACAAAAAACAATCTATAAATAGCTAATGCCTATTGTAAATAATTAAATTTTATTTATATTATTTAAATTAATAAAACTATAAAAATAATATCTATTTATTATTATATTGTTAATTAATTTTATTATTATTATTTAAATTTGTAAAACTATATTATAACAGTTTAAAAACTAAATAAGATATAAAAAATTCAATTTCTATATCATTATAATATCATTGTTTTTAAAAATATTATAATTGAAAAAATTATTAAAACATTGTTATAAACAAATTTAAATTAATTGTACTATTATTATTTAATTAGACATTGAATTTGAATTAATTTTTTGAAAAGTCAGACTGATTAATTTCTTATATTAATTAAAATTTTATAAATTAAAAATTAATAAAAACCAAATAGAAATATTTAATTAAAATAAGTAAATGTTTTAAAAACTTTGTTTAAATATATTTTAAAAATAAGTTGTAATATTAAAAATTAATATAAGAATAATAAAGAAAATTATAATTTTTATTATATACGTATATTAATTTTGACAACTATTTTTTTCTCAGTACCTTCAATTCTATTACTTAACAATTATCAATAGTGATTTTAAAAAAGCAGACTAATAGAAGTATAACAATTTAAATATATATTATAATAAATTATAATTTACTTTAAATATTAATTAATATAAAATCTTGGTATATATTATAATTATTAAAACCATTATTTATTAAAATCATATGTTTAATCAAGAAGTAATTGAAATTACTAATAGTATTTATAGAAATTGAAATTACTAATAGTATTTATAGTAATTTTGCTATATGAAATTAATAAGAAATTATAAATATACTAATTTAATATATAAAAGATTTTATTTATTTTATTTATTATTATTGTTTTTTTTTTTACTGTTAAGGCAAGACAGTACTCTAGTTTTATTAACATAAATAGTTTTTGTTACATCAGTAACATATCTAAATTCTATACTATATTAACTACTATATTAACTAGAACCTACCTATAAGCCTAAACTATCCGGTATAGTCTACCACCTTGCTTGCATTACCCAAACATTTTCCTTTTTCATATACTCTACATAACACTAATTATCATTTTTTTTTTAAACTAGCTTAACCTTGCTTAGCAAACTTTATTAAAGTCAATATTTACATATATTCATACACATTTC